ATTTCCTATCTACAGTAGCAATTAGATTTGCTTAAGGAAAGCCTACCTATATATATTAGGGAATCATGCCTCCGTAAAACAAACCGCCTAGCTTACAAGTTTATGAGAATGAATGTACGGACATTCCGCGTTTATAATGGATTAGGGCATAGCGACAGCTTATTGGTGACTCTGTTAGTTGCTGAACCTTTACTATTACAATAGTGTAAACGTCCTAAGTTAATACTGTACACTCATATAGGTGTACAAGAATGGACTGTGGTTTTGAACTTTTAATGCCATGATGATCTGAATATTTCGAGAAGTTTCATGGTGCTTTATTCACCATGTCATCAATGTAAATTTCCGGAAAAGACTGATTGTCGCCAGCATGATTTGTGGGAAATATTCTGTTTCGTTTTGCGATATGACCTTAAATGTAGTATGTGATTGCTACTAGTTCCTTTGTTATTTCTGTGTTAGTATGTCTAGTGGTTCCTTTGTTATTTCTGTGTTTGTTAGTATGTCTAGTGGTTCCTTTGTTATTTCTGTGTTAGTATGTCTAGTGGTTCCTTTGTTATTTCTGTGTTAGTATGTCTAGTGGTTCCTTTGTTATTTCTGTGTTAGTATGTCTAGTGGTTCCTTTGTTATTTCTGTGTTTGTTAGTATGTCTAGTGGTTCCTTTGTTATTTCTGTGTTAGTATGTCTAGTGGTTCCTTTGTTATTTCTGTGTTAGTATGTCTAGTGGTTCCTTTGTTATTTCTGTGTTAGTATGTCTAGTGGTTCCTTTGTTATTTCTGTGTTTGTTAGTATGTCTAGTGGTTCCTTTGTTATTTCTGTGTTTGTTAGTATGTCTAGTGGTTCCTTTGTTATTTCTGTGTTAGTATGTCTAGTGGTTCCTTTGTTATTTCTGTGTTAGTATGTCTAGTGGTTCCTTTGTTATTTCTGTGTTAGTATGTCTAGTGGTTCCTTTGTTATTTCTGTGTTAGTATGTCTAGTGGTTCCTTTGTTATTTCTGTGTTAGTATGTCTAGTGGTTCCTTTGTTATTTCTGTGTTAGTATGTCTAGTGGTTCCTTTGTTATTTCTGTGTTAGTATGTCTAGTGGTTCCTTTGTTATTTCTGTGTTAGTATGTCTAGTGGTTCCTTTGTTATTTCTGTGTTAGTATGTCTAGTGGTTCCTTTGTTATTTCTGTGTTTGTTAGTATGTCTAGTGGTTCCTTTGTTATTTCTGTGTTAGTATGTCTAGTGGTTCCTTTGTTATTTCTGTGTTAGTATGTCTAGTGGTTCCTTTGTTATTTCTGTGTTTGTTAGTATGTCTAGTGGTTCCTTTGTTATTTCTGTGTTAGTATGTCTAGTGGTTCCTTTGTTATTTCTATGTTAGTATTTCTAGTGGTTCCTTTGTTATTTCTGTGTTAGTATGTCTAGTGGTTCCTTTGTTATTTCTGTGTTAGTATGTCTAGTGGTTCCTTTGTTATTTCTGTGTTAGTATGTCTAGTGGTTCCTTTGTTATTTCTGTGTTAGTATGTCTAGTGGTTCCTTTGTTATTTCTGTGTTAGTATGTCTAGTGGTTCCTTTGTTATTTCTGTGTTAGTATGTCTAGTGGTTCCTTTGTTATTTCTGTGTTAGTATGTCTAGTGGTTCCTTTGTTATTTCTGTGTTAGTATGTCTAGTGGTTCCTTTGTTATTTCTGTGTGTTAGTATGTCTAGTGGTTCCTTTGTTATTTCTGTAGTGGTTCCTTTGTTATTTCTGTGTTAGTATGTCTAGTGGTTCCTTTGTTATTTCTGTGTTAGTATGTCTAGTGGTTCCTTTGTTATTTCTGTGTTAGTATGTCTAGTGGTTCCTTTGTTATTTCTGTGTTAGTATGTCTAGTGGTTCCTTTGTTATTTCTGTGTTAGTATGTCTAGTGGTTCCTTTGTTATTTCTGTGTTAGTATGTCTAGTGGTTCCTTTGTTATTTCTGTGTTTGTTAGTATGTCTAGTGGTTCCTTTGTTATTTCTGGGTTAGTATGTCTAGTGGTTCCTTTGTTATTTCTGTGTTAGTATGTCTAGTGGTTCCTTTGTTATTTCTGGGTTAGTATGTCTAGTGGTTCCTTTGTTATTTCTGTGTTAGTATGTCTAGTGGTTCCTTTGTTATTTCTGTGTTAGTATGTCTAGTGGTTCCTTTGTTATTTCTGTGTTAGTATGTCTAGTGGTTCCTTTGTTATTTCTGTGTTAGTATGTCTAGTGGTTCCTTTGTTATTTCTGTGTTAGTATTTCTAGTTAGTATGTCTAGTGGTTCCTTTGTTATTTCTGTGTTAGTATGTCTAGTGGTTCCTTTGTTATTTCTGTGTTAGTATGTCTAGTGGTTCCTTTGTTATTTCTGTGTTAGTATGTCTAGTGGTTGTTATTTCTGTGTTAGTATGTCTAGTGGTTCCTTTGTTATTTCTGTTCTATTTCTGTGTTAGTATGTCTAGTGGTTCCTTTGTTATTTCTGTGTTAGTATGTCTAGTGGTTCCTTTGTTATTTCTGTGTTAGTATGTCTAGTGGTTCCTTTGTTATTTCTGTGTTAGTATGTCTAGTGGTTCCTTTGTTATTTCTGTGTTAGTATGTCTAGTGGTTCCTTTGTTATTTCTGTGTTAGTATGTCTAGTGGTTCCTTTGTTATTTCTGTGTTAGTATGCCTAGTGGTTCCTTTGTTATTTCTGTGTTTGTTAGTATGTCTAGTGGTTCCTTTGTTATTTCTGTATTAGTATGTCTAGTGGTTCCTTTGTTATTTCTGTGTTTGTTAGTATGTCTAGTGGTTCCTTTGTTATTTCTGTGTTAGTATGTCTAGTGGTTCCTTTGTAATCCTTTGTTATTTCTGTGTTAGTATGTCTAGTGGTTCCTTTGTTATTTCTGTGTTAGTATGTCTAGTGGTTCCTTTGTTATTTCTGTGTTAGTATGTCTAGTGGTTCCTTTGTTATTTCTGTGTTAGTATGTCTAGTGGTTCCTTTGTTATTTCTGTGTTAGTATGTCTAGTGGTTCCTTTGTTATTTCTGTGTTAGTATGTCTAGTGGTTCCTTTGTTATTTCTGTGTTAGTATGTCTAGTGGTTCCTTTGTTATTTCTGTGTTAGTATGTCTAGTGGTTCCTTTGTTATTTCTGTGTTAGTATGTCTAGTGGTTCCTTTGTTATTTCTGTGTTAGTATGTCTAGTGGTTCCTTTGTTATTTCTGTGTTAGTATGTCTAGTGGTTCCTTTGTTATTTCTGTGTTCCTTTGTTAGTATGTCTAGTGGTTCCTTTGTTATTTCTGTGTTAGTATGTCTAGTGGTTCCTTTGTTATTTCTGTGTTAGTATGTCTAGTGGTTCCTTTGTTATTTCTGTGTTAGTATGTCTAGTGGTTCCTTTGTTATTTCTGTGTTAGTATGTCTAGTGGTTCCTTTGTTATTTCTGTGTTAGTATGTCTAGTGGTTCCTTTGTTATTTTGTTATTTCTAGTGTTCCTTTGTTATTTTGTTAGTATGTCTAGTGGTTCCTTTGTTATTTCTGTGTTAGTATGTCTAGTGGTTCCTTTGTTATTTCTGTGTTAGTATGTCTAGTGGTTCCTTTGTTATTTCTGTGTTAGTATGTCTAGTGGTTCCTTTGTTATTTCTGTGTTAGTATGTCTAGTGGTTCCTTTGTTATTTCTGTGTTAGTATGTCTAGTGGTTCCTTTGTTATTTCTGTGTTAGTATGTCTAGTGGTTCCTTTGTTATTTCTGTGTTAGTATGTCTAGTGGTTCCTTTGTTATTTCTGTGTTAGTATGCCTAGTGGTTCCTTTGTTATTTCTGTGTTTGTTAGTATGTCTAGTGGTTCCTTTGTTATTTCTGTGTTAGTATGTCTAGTGGTTCCTTTGTTATTTCTGTGTTATGTCTAGTGGTTCCTTTGTTATGTGTTAGTATGTCTAGTGGTTCCTGTTATTTGTTATTTCTGTGTTAGTATGTCTAGTGGTTCCTTTGTTATTTCTTAGTGGCCATTTCTGTGTTATTTCTAGTGTGTTTTTGTTATTTCTGTGTTGTCATCCTTTGTTATTTCACCAAAATTTGTTCCTTTTCTGTGTGTGTTAGTATTAACATAGTGTTCCTTTGTTATTCCTTTGTTATTTTTGTTTAGTATGTCTATTATTCATCATAGACTCACCAAAATTTAAATATTTTCACAAGTGTTAATAACTACAACTTATTAACATAAAAATGTCTTTTGTTAAAGTTTTATTAAACAACCAATTACTCATAAGACAAAAAATTCAGACAAGCAATTCAATATTTGTGTATTTTTTTTTATTATCATAAACATTCTTCCAAACAATTTTGACCTAATAAAACATATTTAATACACAGGATGGGCCCATTGCAAAAGCAAGTACATTTTACACCAACAAGGGGAGATAAACCAGAATGGAGACATAGAATCATACATTCTAGCAAAAAGTATTTTCTAGTACTAAAACTAATGCAACCACCATGATAATTATAGGTTGAAAATTTTAAAATCTGAAACTTACACTGAAGTATGTACTTTGTTCAGTTATATATTAGTTACAAAAACAAGCACTGTAAATAAATTGTTAAAGTTGGTCAAAATGAATGTTTAAACAACAGGCCCATCACACAACCTCAGCATTACTACATTGTTTACATTAACTAAAACTAAACTATACATCTTATTGGTGATGATTTTTTTTGTGGTCGTATTATGATTTAAACAGAAAATCTATTTACACACCCTGTCACAAACTGTTACAGATTATATAATGTATATTTCTGACTCTCTAAATACATGAAATAATGCTGATCATAATGATACAACTACACCTGAAAACACTAAACAGTGTTAAAACAATACACCACAAATAATCACTGAAGTCATAAAAATACAGTCTGACCTGATTTGACAGGACATCAGATAAATGTTCGTAGAATTTGTAGCAAATGGAAGGATAATATTATGCTGGATAAGACAATATGTAAGCATATTTGAAAAATTCAATCCTAGCTCATATCTATATATATAGATAATTTGCAGAAAAGGTTAAACTAAACGTTTGATTTTAAAGATAATAGTTTTGCATATACATGCATTTTCATATGACTATTATGGTATAGATACAATAGTTGAATAGATATCTCAGTAATTATAGCAGTTCTTTTGTTTTTTTAATTGAAAAAGATTCATCCAGCATTATCCGTCACTGTAACATCAACACAACATTTATGACTGGCCAACAGGGTACTGAAAAAAACCTTCACTTACAGCTGTAGGTAAAATAGTTTCACTTTTCAGAGGAAAAAATCTTTATCTCATCACTTGGAGTGAATAATTTTTTATCTCATCTCTTAGGGGAAAGATTCTTTTATCTCTTCTCTTCGGGTTAAGATTCTATATCGCATCTCTTAGGGAAAATAGTTTCACTTTTCAGAGGAAAAAATCTTTATCCCATCACCTGGAGGGAATAATTCTTTATCTCATCTTTTAGGGGGAAAGATTCTATATCACATCTCTTAGGGGAAAGATTCTTTATCCAATATCTTAGGAGAAATATTCTTTATTTCATCTCATTGGAGAAAGATTGTTTATCTTATATCTTAGGGGAAAGATTCTTTTATCTCTTCTCTTTGGGGAAAGAATTTTCATCTCATCTTGTAGGGGAAAGATTCTTTAGCTGATATCCTAGAGGAAAGATTCTTTATCTCAACCTCTCATGGAAAAGAGTAAATGCCAAACCCTCAAGTTAACACTTTGCAAGTGAATGACATTGGAAAGAGCTGTATTTGTGTTTTGTATATTAATGTCCTCAGAAGCAACAGGAGCAAATGGAAACTTTCTGATGCGAACTGAAAAATTTCCTTTAAATAGCATGACACTTCCCATATACATTGATTTAGTTTATAATTTACATCACCATATGAGATGACTGAACTTAAAGGAACGACAAGTGAATATTGTAATGTATTGGTATATTAAATTTGATCAGAATTGACACACACCTATACACAATAGTCACTTATCTGTCATAGACCTGGCCTTAGTGGAAATATTCCTCTATTTTTCGTACATGGAATTTTCCTTAAAATCAAAGTAAAGATTTCAAATTGTTAACATGTAGGCCCTTTAAACACACTGAATCCTCTAAACATATCCAGATGTGCTATTTAAGTGTGAAAAGATCTAATGACCTGAATCTTACAATCAAATTAATTTTTAACATTTTTGCAAAGAATGTGATACCAATGACCAAAATAATCAGTAAAACACTATTTCTGCAAGTTTTGTTAAATATGTTTTTATGTGAAATGAAAAAAAAATGATGACAGAAACAGTTGGAAAAAAAATGAAACAAAATATACCGGGCATATGACTTTAAAACACTCATCAGTCTAACAGCTTCTCCAGCAAATCAATATGACAAATATACAATTTTAAAAGGACATTCTTCACAGGAAACTTCAAAAAACAAATGTTGATGCAGTTATCTGAAAAAAATGAAATGCCATTCTCCATTACAGACCTTTTCATCTGTGTTGATGTGCCTTGTTTACAAAACTATTGTACATTTTATTCTCCAATGATAAATATCACACATAGTTGGTATGAAAATGTTTCCGGATGTAGCATCCATTTACAACTGGTCTAGGATATCAGGATTTACAAACACAATCATAAATCCTCAATGTCAATTTAAAAAAAAAATAGAATTCAAATTAATGCTTTTATGATTTACAGTGTACTTTGTTTTGGTTTTTGGTCTGTGGTCTAGTGACAATGAAAACAGTTTGTGAAACTCTACAAATATCTAAAATGTTAAAACATCTTCTTTATAAAGTCTCATTTCAATAAAACTATAAAAGGAAATTTTCTGGCGAAAAAAAAAAAAAATTAATTTCAACACAGAAATTTATAATTATATTTTCTTTATGTAAATCCTTAATTTTGATGATAAAATTAAAATCTGACATCCTTATTTTACATCACAGCTGTGTTTTTTTATTGTAATAAAATCTGTTTTACTGTTTGATCAAGAGTTCTCAGTACATGATCTTGTTTTAACACGTTTGCGTTGACAATGATCTCCTCCCTGTAGGACCTCTCTCTGTTTACGCTGCACACCATTACGGCACTCTTCCCACTCTTGCCAAGGTCCAAAGAAACACCTCTCTGTGTTGAAGAAAGATGTAATTTAGTCGTGACGTAAAGGAAAAAGCTGAGAATATTTATTTTTTTCTCCAACAAGTTGATTCAATGAAGTATTAACATATAGCCCTTGATCTCCACTTATTTATAACATAAATTGGGATTTGATTACACACTTAAAATCACAAAAACTGAAATTTTAAAAGTCACACAAAATGTGAAAAATGTGAAAACCTTTAATTCATTGAAGTAAAAGTTGTTTATAACCGAGACGTATATATATGTGTTATAATAACCAATAAGACTGACAAAAAACTTTTTGTGAATGCAATCATTCATAAAATATGGAAACATGTCGAGAAAGTCCCGACTTTTCTAGCGCATTCACAACCAAATAAATGTCATACATTTATATCAGATAATGGCTGAATATGCATACAAAACTGGGTTCCCAGTGTCTGTTGAAAAACTTCAGATAAAGGGACATAACTCTCTTAAAATAGGAATATAGATTGACAAGTGTACACAGCTTCAGAGAAATCATGTGAATTTATTTTAAAAAGATGATCCTACAATACACCTCTTGAAGCTGAGAACCTTGTGTTCCATTCACCTCCACTTAAAAGATATCAACTTTCATCTACCAGTAAACAAACATACAGGCATTAGAAACAGGCAGCCACTGCGATCAGATATGTTTGCCTTTAATATAGTATACTAATATTTTAAAATGGTATGAATCAAGTAATTTTCACTTGTGCATTTTAAAAACTATTCTTTATTTTAAATATTCTTAAAGGTTCCGAGTTAATTGCTTTTGACATTAATTCATCATGTTATAATTTAGAAAGGAATACTGTTTTTATTTCCTGTGGATTTTATTTACTGTGGTTTAATCAACAAACAAAAGATGTAGAAACTTTTAACAGGTCCAACGTATTAAGATTTACCTTGTAAATGTCATGGATTGTAAATCAGCTCATGTCAATTTTGTTCTTTATGTTACATACTCCAGATCTGATAACACATTTGTAACTTCTCAATACAGTTACTCAGAAACTAATGTAATTAATTAGTACATGTCACCTCAGATTTTTCACCAAGCACATTTTTTGAAATTCATTTCAATAGAATAAACTCTATTCTACAGGATGAAATTAACACCAAGATACAAGACATGTACAGGAGCATCAATTAATATCTGATGTCAGAGTTAGAGAAAAAGGCTCAATTATTCTGAGACAATACCAAACTCATTCAAACATTGGGATACTGGTGGCCTTACAAAGTCACTACATCAGGTAATACAATGGGAATCCCATGAGATCAAGAACAGTAAAGTCATCCATCACAAATAAGAGCCACCCAATTTACCAATAACTCAAAATAATTCAGCCAGAAAATTAAGTTGGCCTATAAATTTTATCCAAAGATAGGGGTTATATGGCATTCTGGAGGTTTGACATTTGGTGCTCGCCAAAGTTCAGTAAACAATTTTGATTGGTCCTAATGTGACAGTGTGTGAACCCTGGCCTCTAGTGTTATCACAGGCTAGCTTCTTCTAAATACTGGCCAATTTATGTAGAGTGAGATTCATTAGGAAATACCACACACATTGTCATCATAGCTAATTCAACCATACGGTCATGGTCTGTTAGAGACAAAGAGACAGCTATCTAAAGATAACTTCAGCAATGAAAAATATAAAAATATTCAATTCTGATTTAAGTCATATCAAATTTTTACTGAAAATTATGATAACCACACTCATATGAAATATTGTTTTAAACAGCAAATATTCTGTACTGTTTAAATGTGAAGTAAATTGAAACAGAGTAATATGAATCTACATGTCACACCCAATGACAAATATTATCATTGTAAGTCTTTACCCCTTTACCCCTACACTATACTAGCTGGTCATTGTTGTTACCATACCTTGACCTCTAGGCCCTGCACACGGCCTGGACACTGTTTTCTCCAGTACACATTTCTTAACATCTCCTGTCGACAGTGTTTTTGTCTTTGTTCTCTGTCCACTCAGAACATTACATTCCCCCCATGGTCCAGACTGGTAAACACAACCTGCAAGTAAAAGTTTGGTTTTCTTACATTAGAACCTGAATAAGTCAAAGGGACTTTTTCTTTGAAGAGTTTGCTAAAGCAAAAATATCAAAAAGAAATTTCCAGATCCTATCCCTAAAATCCTCATCTAGTGGATGTCCTATGAGAATTAGAGTTGACATTGATAAAAGCTCACCTTATATGATTATGTATCCTCTGGTGTTTTTCTAACTGTATGATGCCATTTAAGCATAAAAACCTGTTAGTCTTACTATTTGTTGTTTAACACGATGCCATTAAAATAGAATGCCTGTTAATCTCACCATTCATTGTTTTACAAGTGCAATTGAATCAGGATACCTGTGAGTTTTTTACTGTTTTACATGATGCCATTTAACTAGAGTAGCTGTAAGTCTCACTATTTATTGTTTTACATGATGGCATTAACCAGGGTACCTGTTACATTCACTATTTATTGCTTTGAATGATGTCATTTCCACAGAGTGCCCCTAAGCTCTCTATTCATTGTTTTACATGATGCCATTTAACCAGGGTACCTGTTAGTCTCACTATTTATTGTTTTACGTGATGCCATTTAACCAGGGTACCTGTGAGTCTCACTTTTTATTGTTTTACATGATGCCATTTAACCAGGGTACCTGTTAGTCTCACTACCTATTGTTTTATGTGATGCCATTTAACCATGGTTCCTGTTAGTCTAAATATTTACTGTTTTACGTGATGCCATTTAAACAGTGTACCTGTTAGTCTTGTCACTATTTACACGATGCCTTTTAACCAGTTGCATTCACCATCTGTCAGAAGCAATCTTTTGTAGACAAAACATATCTACAAAAATTTCTCAATCAGACAAGAATGTTTTACAGCATTAATTCTGTTATTGAACATCTTAAAATAAACTATGTAATCGAGAAAGTTTATCTAAACTTGTCTGACATATGGAGAAGAGAGTAAGAATGTTGAGTTGAGGAAGCTGTCAGTGGCTTCCTGATGATTCATTTGGCTTACATGTGATGTATAAGTCACTTCAACAGCACCATTCACACCTTCAATGAGGGGCTAGAGTTTGAGAGCAGGAATGCATGTGTTTAGCATTTTTTTGTATCGGCAATGTAATTGAAATTGATAAAAGAAAGTAGTTATCCTGTAATCAGTTGGATTGAAGATGATATATTAAAGAGTACTGAAAGATTGGTTTTATCTTAAACATAGCTTCCCGTTGAATTTCGCTTTTTTGTAAGCCTGACACATAATTCTTGTTGTAATACAAATTAAGTTGATACCATTCTTTCACACCTGGCATTACTCCAGGGAAATTTCACCATGGTTATATATAAGTTTAACAGAATAAAATTGTTATAAACATTACATAATATTTCACAAAAAAAGTCAATAAGGTATTGTGTTAAAAGGGGCACTAGATGTACATGTATAGTGATACTGATATGCAATTGTTCTTCATAAATATATACAAACACCCTCAATGTTATCTTCTAATTATGAGCAGAACAACCTCAAAATCTGATTCCAATAAATTACCAAAAAACAAAGACTTCTGTGTACAAAAAAGACAAAATCTACCTTTAAATCAAGGGTTCACAGGTTTACCTTGTCTATGTTACATTATTCTTTTAGAGCGAGAACTTCAGAACTTAACAAAATATTATGAACATTTTCCTCTGGTTTCATATATTACAACCAGTATAAAAAGAATGGGACTTTAGTTGTTACATTTATCTCCACTGGACACCATTGAAGCTTAACTGTAATGAGATGTACAATGTGCACAGGACCGGACTTACAGTTTACAATAATTACCGTGAAAGACTAGTCATATACAGGTAAAAACTTAATATAGACATAGACTATTTATAGAAATAGTTATATATTGTAACAATTACTTCAAGCTATTGTATCTGTGATAAGGGCTACCAATAGACAATGTTATTGCTGATTCAGGAGTGATTACACCAGCACAATAAACCATGTGTATATGTTTTATGAAAATTCTGTCCTACTTCCATGGTATTTCAGAAATTGCGAGTAATTTAGCAGCTTTTTAATGATCCCATCAAACATCAACTGTCAACTAAATATCAGCTAATATTCCAGGAACTGAGTTATGGCCTCTGTTTTAGTGGTCTAGTGAACATTGTTGATTATTACCAATGAAGCTGATGTCAGTAATACTGAATCCAACGGATGTAGCACTTTCTATATTTGTCATATAGAGACGATTTAAGTAAAGAAAAATTCACACATATTGAATAGATTTAAAAAGCTTCTATGTTGAATAGACTTTATATTCTGGAATATCAAATGGCCACGTAATTGTTCATACATGTAACCATTTTTAAGACTTTCGTTATCAACAATATTATAAAACATATTTCCCAGCTCTCTTGGTTGACTTGTTTTTATTTTAAAACAAGGCTGAGTTTATCAAAGAGCTTATCAAAACAGGTCACAAAGTCCTTCATTTTAACTTTCAAATATATTGATGATGTCTTTTTTTTTTTTTACTTTAAAAGCAAGAAATTGTATATACCATCTACCATTGGAAATCAAGAACATGACAGACTCTGCTACATCAGCTGCTTACCTTGGTCTTTTCTACAACAAATTTTGATGATTTTAGTTCCCCTATTGTGAAATTTCCATTTCTGGATAGCAATTCCACACATCCCCAACCTATTTTGATCACATGCCATAAATGATTAATATTCTTCGGTCTACTCCCAATATCACAATTTCCATGCAAGATATTAGCAACTGACAGACAAACTCATCACATAGTATTAGGAGATATAGGTTAATGAATATAATGTGGAAGTTTCATGGTCATCATAATGATATCATTGAGAAATAATAATTTGTTTGTGTGATATGAGGCTGGACGTATGTGATTCTTGTTAGTAAGCCTGGTTGCTATAGTTTCAAATGTGTGCTACAAATAAGCTTATGTTAAACGTTTGGTATATTCTTTTGTTTTTGATGTCCAACTAAATGCCTTTTGTGTAAAAGACATGGCAGCTTCAAAGTGAAAACCTATTAGCATCAGTTTGTCAATAGCCAAAACATATCTGTTAGCCGTGTCTTCACAAGAACCTCATTAGAATATCAGTCAATAAAACTAAAACCTTCCCTTGTCAACAAGAACAAAGGTTACCTTGCTCAACTACAGTAAAGAATTCTGTGGTGAATAAGGACAAATGGTCCCATAGTGATTGAGAAGAAAGAAAACCCTCACCAACAACAGCAAAGGATCGCCTAAAAGGCTGCCCTGATCAACAAGTGCAAAACATTCCTTTATTGACAAAAATTAAGATTTCAGTCACAAAAAAAAATCACAGATGAAAACAAATGCCCTGTTAATGTCAGGATTCAAATGAAACATTTGTTGTTTCAATATGGTGGGCTATTGATATTGTCTCACTAATTTCTAATTAAGTACATACTAATCATAAAGATATTTATTACAAAGGGTCTTCGTTACAGGCCAGCAGTTTTCTTAAAACTGAGTCAACCTGCTTACTCAGGGAACCATTCCCTTTGGAAAAGTTTAGTGGGCTATTCAGTTTCCGATTCTATCCTCCTCATGTATAATATATACCATTAGGGAGTCTATACATTGGAGAGTTCTTGTCCCTATATAGTAATTCTGTATGGATCATTAACTTCTGATGGCAGACCTATTATCTTGATACAGAGGGTAATCAGTGTAATTGTCGGGGATATATATTCTGCTCATACCATATTCCATGGCAAATACATAGTACGTGTATATTCAACAGAGAAGTAACCAATAAACTGTTGTTTTCAAGTGATCTGATAAATACTATTTTACTATCTACAATATGGATGACTGGCCAGGCTGAACTTCAGATAGTAACCCCACATTCGTCCCTTAATTTAGGAATTATTGTCAGATTTGTAGTATATATATCTGGCACTAAAATTTCCAACATTTCCAATCTGCCCTTTCCCTCAAATGAGGGTGGTGCTGTCAGATATGTATACATCATGTATGTCTGAACTTCAAAGACAAATTACCCTAAAAATAAATAAAACAGATCTATATTTATGTAAGTACTTAATTAATCACATGAAGGAAGACACCAAACTCTCTAAGATGGCCAGACGATACAGACTCCTAGTGTGTAGCTAGCTGACAAAGTAAGGCCAGACGACACAGACTTCTCGTGTGTAGCTAGCTGACAAAGCAAGGCAAGACACAGGCTCCTGGTGTGTAGCTAGCTGACAAAGTAAGGCCAGACGACACAGACTCCTGGTGTGTAGCTAGCTGACAAAGTAAGGACAGACACAGACTCCTGGTGTGTAGCTAGCTGACAAAGTAAGGCCAGATGACACAGGCTCCTGGTGTGTAGCTAGCTGACAAAGCAAGGCCAGACATAGGCTCCTGGTGTGTAGCTAGCTGAAAAAGTAAGGCCAGACAAGGCTCCTGGTGTGTAGCTAGCTGACAAAGCAAGGCCAGATGACACAGGCTCCTGTTGTGTAGCTAGCTGACAAAGCAAGGACAGACAAAGACTCCTGGTGTGTAGCTAGCTGACAAAGTAAGGACAGACAACACAGGCTCCTGATGTGTAGCTAGCTGACAAAGCAATGCCAGACACAGGCTCCTGGTGTGTAGCTAGCTGACAAAGTAAGGCCAGATACAGGCTCCTGGTGTGTAGCTAGCTGACAAAGCAAGGACAGATGACACAGGCTCCTGGTGTGTAGCTAGCTGACAAAGCAAGGACAGACACAGACTCCTGGTGTGTAGCTAGCTGACAAAGCAAGGCCAGACACAGGCTCCTGGTGTGTAGCTAGCTGACAAAGCAAGGCCAGATGACACAGGCTCCTGGTGTGTAGCTAGCTGACAAAGCAAGGACAGACACAGGCTCCTGGTGTGTAGCTAGCTGACAAAGCAAGGACAGATGACACAGGCTCCTGGTGTGTAGCTAGCTGACAAAGCAAGGACAGACACAGACTCCTGGTGT